GTTGAAGCTGATGGCTCCCTCCCACTCCACAGTCACTTTGGGCTGGTAGGGTCACAGTTCTGGAAAATGTAGGGGACTGCTTTTATTCCACACCTGCTGGAGGCCCGCTCGGCCCCTCCTTTTTGAGGTTCAGTTTGCTGGGATAGCCCTGGACACCCATAAGAGAGAGGAAAACTTCTCAACTCCATCAATGCCTGGAGGAGCTCCAGGACTACAGGGGGCCTCCTGATCCCCCAACTTCAGCCCCCTTCAGACAGGCTCCAGGAGGCTGGTAAAACTTTCCCCAACTTATCAGCTCAGGGGTTCCATCATGATTTGCTTTCCCTAAAGTTTCACAGAGTAGTTAGGAGAAAACACAATTCCATACAGACAGAAAAATGCAGGCATCTTACCCCACCAACTTCCTCCTGTCTTTTCTCTGATGTTACTATGTTTAAAATCCATATGGTGTTTCCCAGTCTTTTGTAAGGATCTTAACCACATCCCAGATTATTCTTTCCCCAAAGGGATAACATGATGGTGTGTCAAATCTTTGGAATGATGTACCCACAAGGTCAAAATAAAGGACAAAACTCCATACATCTAACTTGTAACAATTGCCCTTATCAGGATCTGCTGAGGGAAGGCACTTATTTTCAGCTGTGGTGTCAGGATACACTGTGATACTGATCCCTTTCAATTATCTCCCTGTGCTGCCTGAGAATGGGAGCAAAGATTGAGTTTAACCACATTACACTTTGGCTTTGGGTGACACTGAAGATGAGAATGAGAGCCAGTCATTCTGCCTTTTTTTGGAGAGGGAAATTACATTCAAAGGGTTTTCTAAACTGGTTGACTTCAGTAGCACCTTCTGTCCATATCTTGAATGTCAGTGTCCCCAGGGTTTTTATCGCAAGCCTGGTTTTTGTGTCACAGGGTAATTCCAGCCCATTTGGCTGCCACCATCATCTGAACTGAGTGTACCCTCTAGTTAGGGTGTCTGTGTGTGCATGTGTCTAGTGTACAAACCTCTGCATGGGGCAGGGGTGAGGAAAGATGGGGGCACTGAAGAGATTGTGATTACACGGAGACAACTTCGGTAGGGCTAGGTGGCATGTGTATTTAAAACATGGCTTCACAGGAATTCTGATGCAGGAGGAGCCAAACCTCTGCCTGAGATTAGCCCAGTATCTCCATGTCTCCCTCTAGGCACCCTGCCCTAAAGTGACTCAAAAAGGATTTTCCCTGGGTCTAATACCAATCCACTCACTGAGATTGGAAACTCAGGCTTCCACTTCTTTCTATGGCTCCTTCCTTTGATTCCTACTTTCAGTTAATCCCAGGTCTGTGGGTTAATTGGGAAAGTCCTTTCCTTGGACATGGCCTCTTAGAGGCAGGCCTTAGTACTCCAGGCCACTCTATTGCCCATATACTTTCCTTCTCCCAAGCAGCTCATTCTCTTTCCAGAGACTGGAGTCAAGCCCTCACCAAGCAAAGATTTGGGGGCCCAGGAAGTGCAACCCCATCTTCCTAGCCACTGCCTCAGCTTCTCAGCCTTCACCTGGCCCTTCTGTTCAGGGTTTTCAAGGCAGCAGTGCTATCCCCTTCATCTGTGCTCCTGTTCCTCTTCAAAACACTGAGCCTCATTTCACTTGTTCTTTCATCTTAGTTGCTTGTTGATGTGCCAGTTTTCTGAAACAACCAAAACTTTACTTTTTTGTTTTTGTTCTGGTGTTGGGGATTGAACCTAGGGACTTGTGCATGCTAATCACATGCTCTACCACTTAGCTACACCCCAAACCCTCTGAATCTTCATGATCACTGAGTCCACTTTAATTCAAAGTATATGTGTTAGGCACACAGTGAGAATTTAGTAAAGGTCTGTGAACCTTTGTAGTTTTACTTTTTTTCTTCTAAATGCTACATTCTTATAATCAGTATTTTTGTTCAATGACATCTATAAGCAACAACCACTTGTGAGAGCAGCTCCTAACTCAAACATGCCTCCTTGCTTTCCTACAGCAGAACACTGCCCAAGTAAGTAAAGGTTAATAGCAAGAGAACATGCTGGTTTTTCTTCAGTTAAAACCAGTGTTGTTTGGCATGTAGATCAATGAAAGCATTGGATGTGAGAGGTTATGAAGCCCACAGGACATTAGTCAAGTTAGTAAAACTCAGTAATCTTATTTTAATACCTTCCCCACTCCATATTTTGGCAGCTGGGACTATTGTGGCATAAAGGAAGTTGGTGAGTGCAGCTTTAGCCACAGGGCTAGTACAGTGTTCACAGAAGTGCCTCATGGACGACCCTTCTGACCAGGCCTGAAAACCACCAGAGGAACTAGTTGATGGAGCAAAGCAGTGAAGAGATGAAGTCTAGCTTTAAAAGAAAAGCTCACAAGATCTTGTGAGGAGTTTTAATTGCCTGATTGTGGATCTTGTCTCCCTGAGAGGGGAGCAGATGTGGGGCCCTGGATGGATATGCTCCACTAAATCTCAAACCTGGCCTTCCACATAAGTCCCTTCTCTCCTGATCCTGAAATAGGAGGAAAGGAGGGCTTTGAGAAGTTCCTCCCTAAGGACAGTAAAGATCCAAAAAGCTTATGCCTTTGCATTTTTACTATCATAACCTGATTCCTAGCTGATGACGCTCTGACTACTCCCAGCCCTACTCCACATGCCAAAGTTTCTGCTCTGCCTGTGGATCAGGGTGCAAGTGGTCTAGAAGAGGCTGGCAACAGGCCTAGCTCAAAACAGTCCATTGGAGGTATGGAAGGTTTGTAGTGTAAATAGCTCACTCTTTGGCTCTTTCCCTTCTTCAAACAGCTTCTCCACCACCACCAGAGAAAATGAGAAATCATATTTCCTGACTAATAACTACAACTGGTGGTAAGACTTGTAGCAACCAAGATACTCACCTGTCACAGAAGAAGCTGCTCTCTGCTTCCTGAGCTGCTCAGAATCAGAGGCACCAGCTGACAAGCATGCCCTCACCAAGCTGGCACAGCAAGCAAACACAGCGGTCTTGGCTCCCTGTCAAGGTCCCGGGAGTGGCTCAGCAAGGAGTCCTGGCAGCACAGCCGCTGGAAGGGAGACTGTTATCTGGGATAAAAAATGCCATTCTCTATTCCCGAAGTACATGTCCTTGATGAAGAAGTCAGTGTCCCTCCTGACAAAGACAGGCCATTCTATAGCTGAGCTGGAAGGTGGCCTGGATTTTCAGAAAAGGGTGTCAAGTTGGGATCTGGAGCACCGTTCTGAGTAAACACCCTTGTAAGAAATGCTTCCTTGGCTATTCTATAGTGAACATGTGCTCCAGATTTCTCAGAAATTCAAATATTTAATCAATAGATTTTAAAGGACACAATTTAAAAATTTCTCCTCAAGCAATTTCATTCCTTTTTAGTAAAGAAACTGTTTTGAGCAGAGTTTAGCATACATGTCTTTATAAGATGGCACAGATGGAGAAGAAAATGTTATGTCAGGATCTGAGTTTTGATTTGGGGAAACCAAGGTCATGGTACAGATAACATGGCAATAATCAGAACGGAGTTATCTTATCTGTACAGTGAGCCAAACCAAACACAAATACAGGTGCACATCTGGAGCTCTGGCAGACTGAGACAACGTTCTCACTGAGAATCAGTGAGGCAAACCTGTCTTCTGAAAGACACTCTCTTGAAACTGTTTATCAAAAATATTTTTATAGTACAAAGACTATAAGAAAACAAACTAAAGCCCTTGGTAAGCAGTAAAAAGCAAAATTAGTTTAGACCTTAAAGATCTGCCCTGTTCCAGTCTCAAATTATTAAAACAAAATGCTGCTGCTCACCCTGCCGTAGCATTCCTAAAAGCTGTCACCATCCTTGTTCTCTGAAGTTTTCTTTTGTTTTGGGTACACCTGTGTCTTAAGTGTCTTAGTGACATGTTACAAGAAAGACGCTGTTAAAGAGAAGCCACATGTGCAAAGATGGCAAGTGTTCATTTCAAACTTGTGTTCTACATAAGAGCAAATACAAATAACAGGGCAGGGATTTGTGTGCCGGCTTGGCTTGCTGTCAAATCCAAGGAATCTGGAAATGAAAGTTGCCAGTCTCATAACAAGGATCTGAATGCCTTTACACCTTCTACACAGCTCATATGAATAAGAAGCAGCAGACTGAACTATGGCGTGACCTTTTGCAAAAAGGAGGTGTAGATTTGTTTTATAAACTTGCTTATTTTGGTTCCGTGCTGGGATTACTCATAGGATACAACTTTCTCATCATGTTAACTTGATGTCATCCTGTGTGTGTAGGAAGAGCATGTGTGTTCACGATGCCCACCATGCTGGCTGCCACATCCTTTTCTGTATGCCTGGCTGCTGACGCTCCAGTGCCTTCCTCATGCTGGCTCTGAAGCTGGAGGGAAGGGTTTGGGCTGGACCAATGAAGACTGAAGAAGAGTCCTCATCTGAGATCTAGCAGCAGGAAGGTTGTTTTATCTTCTTAGTAAAACATTCAAAATCGTTCAGATGTTGACAACCACTGGCTGTGCCTCTTGAGGTCAGTGTGCCTGGGAGGACTGCCAGGCTCTCTTGTGCTACTTCCCCACACCTCAGGGTTGGCAAATGGACAGGTCCATAGGCTGTTGAGACTAGGGGGGCTTCAATGTTTAGTAGCTACATAAACACTTGTCACCTTATGTCATGCTCAACACAGATGCTGGAAAATGACCAAGCAGATGACTGACTGTCACCACCACAAAGAGACCCTGGCCCCATGGCCTGTATCTCATGAGGCAGAGCTCTGTTGGGAAATGGGTTGGTCAGAGTCTTAGGTGAGGTACAAAACACAAGGCTTTCTCTCAATTCCCTAAAGAAAGAGGCCCTTTAACAGGAAGTAGAATAGAAACAGAGGACAAAATAGAGTATGTCAAGGAGCTGTGACTCGTGCTCTGCATTGGTAGGAAGCTTCACTTGCAGGCTTTAGTATGCATTGTAAGTGAGGATCACAAAAAATATTAAAAAAAAAAACCACACACACACACACACACACACAAAAAAAAAACAACAATGCCACCCCAACACAGAATAGCATGTGATTATTCAGGGACATGTTTGCAATGCAACCTTAACCCCTGACTCCTGCCTCTTCTCTGGAAATGGCCAGGCCTGTTGGGTGCCCATGTTCAGTGGCCAACTTTGGGCAGGCATTCAATACCACAAGGCTCACCTGGGCAATAATGCTGTTCTCAAAGCCTCACTTTGGGGAACTTTGCAATTTAACCCTGAACCCCAAACTGTGCTTGGAAGCACTATCATTCTTCCAAAATGGACACTGAGAAGAATACAAAATAAGAAAGGTGATCATAAATCAAATCACAAAAGAAGTGACCCCTAATAGCCCATTTTTAAAAAATCAGGTTTTGTTCTCATCATACATGTCCAAAGAAGGTTCAATTGTGGAGAATTCGCTTTCATACACCAGGCTTCGAGGGGACAAGGAATTTCGGTGAAAGAAGTGACCACCTGAAAAAGGAACAATAAAAACAGACTTAGTATAGGTCATCAGTTTCCATTTCTCACCCGGCTTCGGGGGAAAGAATGTGGATTATCTTTGAAATCCTTCACTTTCTCAAATGTCTCCTTTATATTGACCTCTTATTATTAAAGAAAGAAAAAGAATGCATGTATTCTTCAATGTAAGAGTACTTCATGTAAGTTCACTTTTTGTGGTGTTGGGATTGAATCCAGGACCTTGAGGATGTTAGACAAGTGCTCTACCACTGAGCTACATTCCCAGCCCTGTAAGCACACTTTAAATATGTATGTTCCCATGTTTGGATCCCCCAGTAATTTACTGATGTAGCTCTTTAAAATAAAAGCTGCCTGGGGCTCTTGAAGAATTCTCTTACACATTTGAATACTTCTTCCTATGAAGAATTCATACCCTACCCTGCCTACCTAACCTTTCCTCTCTAAGCAATTGTTCTCAGCTGACTATGGGGGTGTGGGTAAGCAGAGCCCCTTCATCAGATGGGCTGACTTGGTGATTTATGTGGTGATTTTGAGGCTCTGATAATAGATTTGAACGTTTTTAATTATATTATTTAGTTAATTAAGTCCATGCATTCATTTTTTAAATGATTTTTAAAATATGGAATTCATGCAAGTAAAGTGCTTTACCACCACATGAAAACTACATTAATGGAGCCTTATGTCTTGACATTGGGTATTTTAAGTTCTTCAATCTTGTTCTTATTTTACAAATGGTGTGATGGGCAGGGAGGAAAGGAAGGTTGTAGGTTCATACTAACAAATGAATTTGTAGGACCACTATTTTCTTGTTCAACTTTATTATGATTAAAATCTTCTGCTTGTAAAAAAAAAAAAAAACCTAGGATGAATTCGAAGATGTATGCTATCTGTACAAAGCAGCCCTTGAAGGGGAAGGCCCCAAGTAAAATACAGATGTTTGACCTCTTGACAACTAAGTCCCTGCCCTCAGATGGATTTGCATGATCCAACAGTACTAAAGAGGGAATTATTTAAAAAAAATGCTAATGATAAGGAGGATTTCTGCTACACAGGAAGAATTAAAGCCATCAGAAGTAGAAATGACATTTTTCTGGTAGGGTAGTGATCAGAGGACAGCAAATCTTTGTCAAGTGCCACCACCCCTTACCCCCAAAACAAACCCTTCAAACACAGTCAGAATGGAGTTTGGGGCTATAGCTCAGTGGTAGAGTGTGTGCTTAGCATGCATGAGGCCCTGGGTTCAAACCCCAGTACCAAATTATAAAAGTAAAAACATTTTTAAAAAGGGTCAGAACCTAAACCAGTAACTGAGAGCTGTTAACTAGTTTTCTTGTGAAAAATATAACACCAAGAGAAAAACATTCAAGCAGCTGAATTTCAGAGAAAGGCATAATGCTGGCTTGCCAAGGAAGGACAAGATATTGTTTGATACCTGGAAAAATACCGTTTCCTGACCAAATGATTTTTAAAAAGTTATTGTTATTGGTGACACAGAGCTCTTAAGTAAACTCGTAAGAGAAGTATGACCATTATACAGAGAAGTGTACAGACTGTAAGCTCCACAGAGTGCACACTCATGAAATCATAGCTGGATCAAGAAAAAGAACATTAATAGCACTCCATGAGTCCCTCAGGTGACCCCCGATCACATCGTGCCCTCTCCCCTCCCCTGGAGAAACCAGAACCAGACTACTCACATACAGTTTAGCTTTGTCTATTTTAAATTTTACATAATTGGAAACACATCATATACTCTTCTGCCTAAATTCTTTGAAACAATGCTATGTTGTGACATTCATGGTATGTAATCTATCAGGGAGCTACTTTGAACATTGCTGCTGGAAATATTCTTGTATCTTTTTTCCCCCTTAAGTTACTGGGGGTTGAACCTAGGAGCACTTTATCACTGGGCTACATCCCCAACTCTTTATATATAATTTTGAGACAGGGCCTGGCTAAGATGCTGAGGCTGACTTCAAATTTGTGATCCTCCTGCCTCAACCTCCAGAGTCTGCTTGGATTACAGGTATGAATCATTACACCAGACTTGTGTGTATATTCTGCATTCATGGGAATGCAGCTTTCTTGGGTTATGCCTAAGAATCGAATGGTTGGGTTTCAGGGTATGTATATATACACTTCATCACACTGGCAGTTTTCTAAAGTAATCAATTTTTTACTGCCACCAATAAGTTAGAGTTTCATTCATTCTATATTGGTTCTAATATCTGATGTTTTGTTATTCATTTTAGCACTTCTTGTGGGTATGTAATGGTATTTCATTGTGGTTTTAATTTACCTTCCCTTGATAACTAAATAGGAAGAACACTTTTCATATGGTTTTAGGCTATTTGTGTATATAGTTCATCCTGAAATGTCTACTTATTTCTTTTCCTCATCTTCCTATCATGTTGTGTTTTTTCCTAAAATCTTTATTCTGAATGAATTCTTAGTGAATTATAAATATTGCAGTGATCTTGAATTTCTTAATTTTAGTGTAGACCAACTTATCTTATGTTTCATGTACTTCTGAGTCCTATTTAAAGAACTCTCTGCCTATCTCTTTACCAAAAACTAAACGGTTTGAAGATACCTATTTTATCTTTTAGAAGCCTCATTTTTTATTTGGTATCAGAAATTGAGACCAAGGGCACTTAACCACTGAGCAACATCCCCAACATTTTGTGATCCTTTTGTCTTAGCCTCCCAAGTCACTGGGATTACTGGCACATACCACTGTGCTCAGCTACCTTTCACATTTAAATATATTGTTCATTTCAAGTTAATTTGTGAATAGAGTATAAAGTAGGAATTAAAACTAACTTTTTTTTTTTGGTATAGAAATTAAGATGATCCAGAAACATCTTTAAAAGTCCGTCCTTAGCTAGACTATGCCTGTAATCCCAGCTACTTGCAAGGCTGAGGCAGGAGGATTACAGACTTGGCAACTTAGTAAGACCCTTGGCAGTAATTTAGTGAAGCCCTGTCTCAAAATAAAAAATAAAAAAGGACTGGGGATAGCTGAGGTTGTGGCTCAGTGGTAAAGTGCTTGCCTAGCATGCATGAAGCACTGGGTTTGATCCCTAGCATCACATAAAAATAAACAAATAGAATAAAGGTATTGTGCCCATCTACAACAACAACAACAAAACATTAAAAAAAAAAAAAAAAGGACTGGGGATATAGCTCAGAGGTAAAGTGCCCCTGATTCAATTTCTAGTAAAAAACAATAACAACAAAAAACTATCCTTATCCCCATTGCCATGTAGTGCTACGTGAGTGCTTCATGAGTTAGGTGTACATACTTATGTGTGGTTTTTTGAACTATAATCTGTTCTCTTAAGACAGATTATTATCTGTTCATCCTTGGATCAATACCTGTCTTTATTACTGTAGCTTTATAAATAATATTGATTTATAGTTCTTTGAGTCCTTCTGCTTTATTATTCTTCAAGACTGTCTTATCCCAGCTACACAGAAGGCTGAGGAAGGAGGATTGCAAGTTGGAGGCCCGCCTGAGCAATTTACTAAGACTTTGTCTCAAAATAAAATAAGATAAAATAAAACAGGGCTAAGGATATAGCTCAGTGCTTTGCTTACCCAGCATGTGTGATACTGAGTTCAATCCCCAGTACCACGGGCAGTGTGGAGGTGGTGGTTGACATTGTTTTGTTATTCTTGACCTTTTTCTATATTAATTCTAGAATCAGTTTGAGAAGTTAATATATACTTCTCTACTGTGATACGACTGAATCTGCAGGGAATTTATTGGGAATCTAGGGTAAAATAACACATTTACAATAGATCTTCCAATTTGTTAACCTATTATATAAACTTATTTAGGTGATCTTTAATTTTTCCCAATAATGTATACTAGTTTTCTTACAGAAGAGTGCATATCTTCTCTTAGATATATTCCTCATACGGCATTCATTTGATGCTTTTTCAAAATGCTAACTTTTTGAATATTTCATTTTTAAAAAATATTTTTTAGTTGTAGTTGGACACAATACCTTTGTTTTATTTATTTATTTTTATGTGGTGCTGAAGATCAAACCCAAAGCCTCACACATGCTAGGCGAGCACTCTACCACTGAACCACAACCCCAGCCCCTAAATATTTCACTTTTAATTGCTTATTTTGGTATATGGAAATACAACTTTCAGTCACACAGCAGGTATTCTCATTTACAATCTCAGGGAAAATGTTTCTAATACTTGACCCATTAAGTATGATGTCTGCTCTGATTTTGAAAAATGCCCATTATTAAGAAAAGTCTTGGGCTGGGGTTGTGGCTCAGTGGTAGAGCACTTGCCTAGCATGCGTGAGGCACTGGGTTCGATTCTCAGCCCCACATATAAATAAATGAATAAAATAAAGATCCATTAACATCTTAAAAAAAAGTCTTGTTTTTCCTAGCTTGTTAAAAAGTGTTTTTGTTTTGTTTTGATTTTGGTACTGGCAATTGAATCCATGGGTACTTTACCACTGAACTACATTCCACCCCTTTTTGTTTTTTATTTTGAGACAAGGTCTTGTTACAATGTCATGGTTAGACTCAAACTTGTGATCCTCCTGCCTTAGCCTCCTGAGTAGGTGGATTACAGATGTCCACCGCACCTCTACCTAAAAGTTCTTTTTAAAAACCAGGAACAGGTGTTGAATTTTTGCAAATGATTTTTCTATATCTAAATGACTTTCCTGTTAATCTGTCAATAAAAGTGAATCAGTGAATCACACAGATTTTCAACCTTGCATTTTTTTTTTAAGTATAGCAAAGTTTACTAGAAGGGGAAAGAAACTCTCAACCGAGAGAGTTTGGTCCTCTTGGAGAGAAAAGTCATTAATCTTGCATTTTTTAATAAGGTTCAATTTGGTTGTAATGTTTTCCTTCCCCACATACCATCAGTTTTATTCAGGCAATCTTTTGTTTAAAACATTTCCATCTATATCATAAGCTAAATTAACTTACAATTTTCCTTTCTTGGAA